GCGAGTTGGCAACAGGTCTCCAGATACCGCTTGCACCCGGGCTTTCTTCCCACGACCAGCTAATTTGCGACATGCGGTATTCATGGGTAGTATTATACAGATCTATGGCATAGCCCCTGCAGATGGCGGTGTCTGTTATAACCGTACTACCGGCATTAAGCGGTCCGGTACAAGGCGGGAATACCACATTAACCAGGTAATCTTCGCCCTCACCAAACGTAGAGTTACTGGCATTGCAGGGCTGCATACTGCCTGGCTGCGCATCATCACCGCCGCGGATTCTCATCCGGGTAAGGCCAGGCTCTGCGGTAAGCGGGGTTGTAAAAGGAATACGTACAGTGGCACTGGCACCAACCATAGCGCTACTGAAATATTCGTTGGGTTCAAAATAGCCGCTATGATCAAAGTCTATCCACACAGCACTGTACTGGGTACCATCGGTCCCAAACGTAATTTTCACGGTATCCGTTTCTCCCATCACCAGATTAGGGATCGGCAAGGCACCGGGTTGCTGGCTGGTATAGTTTACGTAATAGGGGACCGGATTGCCGGCTGAAGCCGTATTGTTGGCCAGGTTCTTCAGCACCACATTGGTAATATTATCCGTTCCGCCGCCATCAATATAGGTAGGCACGCAATAACAGGTCAGGAAGCTGGCCAGCCTCACCAGGTAGACGGCGGAGGTATCCCGCAGGCCCGAATTTGTACAGGTAACAATAACGCGGAACTTGGTAGCCGCCGCTATATTACCGGTATAAGTGGCATTGGTAGAAATGCCCGGGCTGTTTTGCCAGCTATTCGTAGCGGTGGAGTCCTGCCATTGAAAGGTTAAGTTGCCAAAAGCGGTAGACGAAGTGCCACCGATGCGGCTCAGCATAAAATTCTGATTGGCACAAGGCGTTACAGGACTGATCGTCCCCGCGTCCGGCCGACCGGTGCAGGGCGCCAGTGCCGTAACCCCGATATCATCAATGGATACATAAGTATTGGACAGCGTGGCGGTATGCGTACCCATGATGCCGATATAATAAACGCCGGTAGTAGCAGGTGTAAACGTTTCTACAAACTCCTGGTACGTAGTACTGGCAGGATTCACGGTATTGATGAGATTGGTCATCCCGGCAACCGTATTAGTAGTGCCATAATAAGCACCGAAAGAACTGAAAGTGGCCGCATTAGCCGCGCCGCGATACCAGAAACGAACGAGGTAGCTGGTGCCCGCAACCAGGCTAAAGGCAGGTGTAAAAAAAGCATTGGTACCGGCAGGCGAATAGTAAAAAGCCCCAAACTTAGAGCCACCCGGTGTATGGTTGGTTGCATTGGCCTGGTTGGCTATATAAGTCTGGGTATTGGTACCGCGATTTGTTGACGTCATACAGCCGGGCAATTGATTGTTGACAGCGATACTTTCAAACGTTTCAGTATAAGGTGGCACCAAGGGCGAGGCATTGATAACAACGGTTGTGGATACTGTTGAATCATTCCCACACTTCACCCAGGCCCGGTACTGTGTATTGCCGGTAGCCGATGCAATCACATACGAGCTGTTGGTGGCGCCGGCGATGCGTAGCCATCCGGCCCCATTATTACTTTCCCACGCATAAGTAAGTCCTGAAGCAGAGGTAGAGCCTGTCAGGTACAACGTGCTGGGAGCACCATAACAAGGTACTGCCGGTGATGCTGTAGCCGTACCGGCAGTGGGCGGCCCGGCGCAGGGAGTGAGCGGTAACGGCTGATTCCAGGTAGCCGTAATCTCCGTAGCGGTAAGCGCCCGGTTATACAGGCGGAACTCATCCATACCACCACCTGTAGGCAAGGAAGTACTGTTCGCATAATTACCGATCGTAAAATTGGTACCTGTTAAGGTAAGTGTCGCCGACTGGGTAACAGTGCTGTTAAATACACCGTT